TGTGCATATTCGCGGTCGACCGTCGCAGACTCGCGATCAATCGTGGATCTTTCTGGCAGTTTTTCTTTATCGTTTAGATTCCAGCTTGGCTTCAAACTTTGGGTCTACACTTTAGACTAACATGAATGGCAATCATAATAGCTACAAATTAGAATTAACATGTGTGTTCGATAGAAATTTATGTTCGAATGGAATCAGAATAGCAAAGAAATTAGGGAAACCCATAAAAAAGGTCTTGAATGCTAAATTATCTACCACTTGTACCATCGGGATGGTTAAGATCTTTTGATAAAGTTTTTCTTTGATGGAAAATAGGGCCAAATGCCCTATCATTACTTGTATATTATTACTTGTATATTAAACTGTAGAGTATAAAAGTTAAACAAAAGAACATATCTAATGGTGATTTCAGCAGCTTCCCCCGAGATGGAGAAAATTGCCAAATTACTATTAGATGTCTTAGGTACATGAATGTAATCAACAAAGTAACAGATAGTAGAGAGTCACAAAATAGACAAAAGGGACAAAATACTGCTGCCGAGAGATCAAAGATTCCCATTACTATCCTCGCTGGAGGAAATTAGCTCTGATAGACCTCTCGCGCGAATGAGGTTTTTCAGTTTGAGAGCCTTCTTGCAAGAGGAAGCACCTGTCCAGAAAAGAAGATAGTAAGTTGGCTTTGAGGATATTTACTGTGGAGTGGTGACAGAATGTGAGAAGATACGATCACTGCGAGCTTTCCAAAGAACCCACCAGACTATCGGGAAACATAAACTCCAAAGAAGACGGACTGAACTGTCGAAGGACCAATCCAAACATATGCCTAAACACTGACTGATATGAGTAGGGAGAGAGTCAATGCTAATTCTTGGTAGGAACTGGGCCCAAGTTTGATTTACGAAGGTGCACGAGAGGAAGAGGTGATCATGGGATTCCTGACCACTGCAGAATGAGCAAGTTGAATCACCTACCCAGCCTTGAGAGGATAGCCTATCTTTGGTCTTCAATCTATTCAAGCTCATGAGATAGAGGAAGAATTTGACTTTACTAGGTAGTATGTTGTTCCATATAATGGCTCTGTATGGACTGCGAAGACCTCCATCAGACAATAGGGAGTAGAGAGATTTAACCTTGTGAAGCTTGGCGTCCGACAGGGGCCACGTAGGTTTGTCGTCTATGGAGGAAGGATGAAGGTAGGTAGCTGCTAGTAGCTGGCTGAGGGCTTGAACTTGGTACCTTTCGCTATCGTGAATGGGTTTTCTTATAATAGGACTCCATGACTAGCGATCTCCACAGAATCTCCCTTGAGATGTGATGGATACACGCTTGGAGAAAGCTAGGTTATATGCCAGAGGAAAGAGGCTAGCTAGAGAGTTATCCCCTATCCATTTATCTTCCCAAAAGTCGATCCTTAACCCCTTACCTAGTGACCATTTGACAAAACCTGAGAAGTATTGGTAGCAAGATTGAACATCCTTCCAGAATTTGGAGCATTGATTGAGGGGAGGGCGGTTATAAAGGTTGGTTGGGTATATGGACTGGAGAACTCTGCCTACCTGATTGTTACTATCAATGAATTTCCAAAGTCATTTGGAGAGAAGGGAGATGTTGAAGATATGGAGCTTGGAAACACCTAGCCCTCCACAATCTTTAGGGGAGCAAATTGTATCTCATTTAACTAAGTGCTTGCCTCTGGAGTCGACAACAGTCCCTCCCTATAGAAAATTGTGTCTGATTTTATCAATGTCCTTGATAAGTCAGGTAGGGAGTTTGAAGAAGGACATGTAATAAAGAGGAATGGATGATAATACTGATTTGAGAAGGACCAAGCGGCCACCAAATGAGAGATGTTTGCTTTTCCAGAGGGAAAGTTTGTGATGAAAAAGTCCAGCAATGATTGCCAATCAGATCTAGACAGGATACCTCTCTTCAGAGGTAGACCTAGGTATTTGAAAGGAGGAGATGCAAAGGAGCAATTTAGGATTTTGGCCAGACGAGGCCTCTTAGTAGAGGATTTACCACTATAGAACATATTAGATTTAGAGAAGTTGATGGTCAGGCCCGAGACATGTTCAAAAAGATAAAGAATGGCTTTAAGATTGGTAATGTTTGGGGAATTCTTTGCAGAATATGATGGTGTCATCTGCAAACTGAAGGGATTTGATGTTGTTAAGCATGCCTTTGAGATGAAGTTCTAAAAGATCACCATGTTTAGAGCTTTTGTGAAGCATGCTACATAATACATCCACCACTAGGAAAAAGAGCATGGGGACGATGAGATCTCCTTGTTTGAGTTCTCTATGACATTTGAAGATTTTGGAGGGGTTGCCGTTGACAATGACAGAGGACTTGGAAGAGGAAAGAATGGAATGAATCCACATGCATCATTTTTGACCGAAGCCTCTGTCCTTGAGGAGGGACATGAGAAAATGCCAACTAACACAGTCAAATGCTTTACTGAAGTCAATTTTAATGATGCATGCCTCAATTTTTTGGAATAACACTGATTGATCATCTCATGACCTAGGACTAGGGAGTCTAGAGTGGATTTGCCTGGCAAGAAAGCAGTTTGAGTCGGATGAACCAGGGATGGAAGGATGGGGCTGAGTCTATTGGTTAGGACTTTTGTTAATATTTTGAGCAAACCATTGAGAAGGCTTATGGGTCTGAAGTCAGATGTATTGCTTGGAGAGGGGGTTTTAGGGTTTAGGGAAATTTTTGTGGTTAATTTCTGAGGGGAGGAGGGCTCTGGCTTCTTCGAGGATATTGAGGGAGTTGATAGCATTGAGGGTGGCAGATTTATTACGAGTGATTGAACCGAAAACAGATTTCTTCCACCGTTTGAGTATGCGTTTGAGGAGTTTAAGTTTGAAGTGAAAAGACTGCACAGGGTTACCATGATATTTAAATTCATTCCAGCATGAAACAATGAAGGATGAGAAGGAGGGGTGAGAGAATCATGCTTTTTCCAGCCTGAAGAGAGGCCTGAGAAGAGGGCATGAAGTATCTAAGATGAGAAATTCATGGTCAGAGAAAGACGTAGGATGACAATACTGAACAACTGAGGGGAATTTTGATTCAAAGTTAGAGGAGATGAGGAACATGTCTAGCTTGGCCCCAAGTAAATTGCTTGCCATTAAGGGGGAGGTCTATGAGGGAGAGGGAGTTGACAAGGTGACGAAAATTGATCATATCAGAAGAAGAATCAGTACTTCCACTTCTCTCATTGGTCGAAAGAGTGACATTAAAGTCTCCAAAGAGAGACCAAGGAAAAGGGAACATACATTAAATTCTATGAAGCTCCCACCAATAGACTTCTCTATCTAGTTTGTCGGTGGGTGCATAGACAGAGGTGGCCAGGAATCTCCAATCAAGAGTCCTGTGATTAAGCACAACAGAAACAGAGAATATACCAATGTAGGAATCTAGGCATTCAAGCAAGGAATTATTTCATTCCA